TGCATCATTCGTTCATTGTTTGTTGCAACTGTCATTATAAAACATATTATGAAATGCGAAATAAATGACTAATTGAGAGTAGGTAATTAAAGCGATTCCTGTTTTTTTTACTTTGTTGCATTTTTTTTCTGTTACTTGCTCCTTTTAAATCCGACCATGTATGTAAGTGATTAGGCACTCTAAGCTATATTAGACATTTTCCCAACTGGTGAATCACAAGGAAAAAAAAAAGATGGAGGCGTACCTGGTTCACTACGTCCCAGCGTGCGGGATGTAATGGACGCGACGGATTTATGGTTACATTGGCAAAAATATCGATATTATGAAAATGGATCTTTTAGGATCGATTTTTTGTAAAGTTCGATTTATCAGGTTACGATTGGACCACTTACAAATCGATCTTTTTCGGAAATACCCAATAATATCGATGTAAGAAAAAATCAATTATATCGCAATCTAATATCGACTGAAGCCCAAAGAGTAAAATATATACCAGTTGTTCAAAATTGTTCAAGTTCAAAGATATTCCCGCCTTCTGCCATCTCTCTTTACTACTAAATGCAGAAACTTTTGAATCGATTTATAAGCATATAACTTCAACTTGTGTTAGAATGGACTCTGTATATCATTGTGTTAGAATGGAAAATATCATTTAAATATTCATAAGGAAAAAAATATACTAAGTGAAGAAGTATGCTTCTTAGATGTGTCTGGAAATTCTTCTCTTGCGTTGCTAACCGACTCGCTGAGAATATAGGTATATAATCATTGTACATCAGTGACATAAATAATATGTAAACTATAAAGAGTTTAATATCTAGGTATATAAATTTCGCTACAAATGTAATAAAGAAGTGGCTGTATGAATGCTTCCAAAGCCGAAAAACAAATAATAAAAAAATACGGAAGTGTCATTTTCTGTGTTTATTTTACTGCAGTGCATGAGTGCATGAGTGCAGCAGTTAGTTTTGTTTTGAAGAAAATGATTTAGAAGAAACGAAGAAACCGATGAGAATTTAAAAAGCACTATGTATAACTTAAATCTACTTTTTGTTTGTTTGATTTAACATAACTTCCCATATTTTTAACAATATATAAGGTTTATTGTAATCAATGGAAAATGGATTCATTTGACAGAGAATTAATTACCGAACTTTTTCTCGATACTGATAGTGTTTCGACTATAAATAGACTTGTAGTTGCAATAGCAAACGTAATTTCTGAAAATAATGAAAATTTGCTAACAATGAATATAGAGCTTAACCAACTTCAGCAAGACATTTTAAAACAAGTAAATGATCCTGTTCCACGTAAAATTGAGAGATTCCTAGAGGACTGCAACATATTTGATAATTATAATGATGAAGATTACTTAACGAGGTTCAAATTTAAAAAATCCACGGTTGAGGTAAGTTTTTGTTGAATAATTCAAATGTTTTTAAACTTTCTATTTAAGATTGTGGATTAGAAATGCCTGCAGTATTCAATGTTCATAAATTAACACCAAAAAAGAAACAAATATTTAAGTTAATTTAAATTCCTTTTATTTGGCATTTTAAACATTTTTGTGTAAAATTTAATAATATGTCTATAAAATAAGTTTTCACTAAATTTTCCTTTACTTTTGACTGCTAATATATTTAGAAACTTCATTAAGATTGCAGGTTACCTAGACGCCCAATGTTGGTCACTTTCTTCAATTGCCATGATTGCTAGCCTGTATTCAATTAGTATGGCCTGTAAATAACTAAATAAAAAACAACAAGGTGGCGCTGATGAGGGCATTACTGTAGAGATTCTGACAGCTGGCAGTAAATTGATACTTTAAGTCCTCCAGTCCTTTTTGATTTTGATGATTCTGTTATCTTCGAGAGGAGATCACCAATAGCATGGAGTAGGACAGGTCTTCTGGTTTTTCTAAAAGGTTGACTAAACACCTGAAGAACTATAGACCCATCTTGCAGTCGAGCCATATATACAATTATAACATTGTGAAAGAGATCTCTTGTCGAATCCAGCTTGAATGAGCAGTGGATGGGAAGCTATGAAAAATTTTTGCACTAGATTTTCAATGTCTTAAGAGGAAAGTCTTTGCCTAGTGTATATTTATGTGTATCTTTCCAAGTGTGTCAAGCAAGGAAATTTCTGATAGCAAGAATGGATCAGTGGCTGAAGGCTCTTAAATATTTAAATATTAAGCCTCTTTAATATTCTTAATCCAGGCAAATTTTAGTAATAATTGATGAAATATAATTATTCTGTTTTATTTTTGTAATTTCTGTTAAGCTGCCTAGAGCTTGGAGTATCTAATAAATTATGTTTCGGAATCTATTTAGTATTTCTATTGGTACATCTTTTAACCTCATGAAAGTGCATTCTTCAATCAGTGAAACAATGTAACTATGTTATACAGTGTGCTTGACTATGTAGAACTTGTGTAGGTATAGAACATAAAATAAAACGATGATAAATTCATAACAATCAATGACCTCATAATATGCAAACTCTATGTTACATATTTTCTTTTTAAATTACATTGTATATAACATGTTCCTATTTGTAACAGAAAACCCTAACATATTTGTGCGTAGAGAATGGACATTGATCTGTATAGACAGATATCGTGAAGATATAGGTCTTCACGCCATATCAAGTATTTAGAAATAAGGAGATTATATTAGGTCCTTAAATATGAAATTGGTGTTTGGTATGGGAGGAACAAAAAGTCGAATATTTTTTTATATAATATATTTATTTGATCAAAGTATAAACCATTGTTATCAATGCACTTTTGCCATCTCATAGGTAGTTCATTGATCCCCTTCCAAAATAAACATTCGGACGGGAATCAATAAAATCTTTGAAGTCAATTTGCACTGCCCCATTGGAGTTGAATTTTTTCCCTTGCAAAAAGTTATCCATATTTGGAAAAAATGGTAATCTGTTGTAGCAAGGTCCGGGGAGTACGGTGGATGTCTTAGACATTCCAATTGAAGCTCTTCTAATTTGGTAGCTGTCTGTTGTGCAGTATGTGGTCTAGTGTTGTCGTGAAGTAGTAGTGGCGTAGAGCGATTGACCAGCCTCGGTTGTTAACAGCTAATTTTTCCAGCATTGTTTGCAATCGCTGACAATAGACGTAATCGTCTGGCCAGATTTGAAAAAAACTGTAATGAACGACAACGGCACTAGTCCATCAAACGCTTACAAGTAACTTTTTTTTGGTCAATTTTCGCTTGCGGCAAGATTTTGCTGGCATACCAGGGTCCAACCATTGCGATGAGCGCTTCCGATTATCGTAGAGAATCCACTTTTCATCACAGGTAATGATTCGATTTAAAAACCCTTATTTATTGTTCAAGTAATGTGACGCAGCAGGCTATCAGCGCTTTTGCCGGTTTGCTTCACTCAATTCGTGAGATTTAATCTTTCTAATTTACTTCAAGTGGATTAAAGCAGTTTTATCAGTAACACCGCAGACTTCAATTCTTCATTATTAACTTGGGTCTCTGGCCGTCCACGGGGCTTGTTCTGCACGTCAAAATTTCCAGAAAGAAAACTTTTTTTTTTGCGATACAACCGTCATCCACATCATTAACCCTTCGAGCCGTTTCCGCAGTACTCGTAAATAACACGATATTTCAATTTTTCCATTTTTTATACTGGATAACGTAAATAGGACAAACGGAAGAAAAAAAAGACAAATTAATGCCGCCTAAAGAAACACAAATACATGGTTGTATAAATTTGAATTTGGAATTCCCAACCAAGGAGGAAAAATTTTTGATTAAAGTGGCCAGTACGACAAAACGCCAATTTCATATGTAAGAACCTAATATTACGTCTGTAGTATCTGATAATTTTCCTAAATTGGAAACTAGCTTTCCACCAGCTTTTACACAAGAATATGTATTTTTTAAGAACATATTTTCAAAGAATTTTGACAACATTGGGTGGGTTTTTCACTTCTACAACGCAGTGGGTACGCTACCTCAACGCTTATTTATCATTAGAGAAAATCAAATGTGCAACAATGTTCGTCTGATTGGTCCCTTATATTATTAATTTGTTACTTTCAGGCCTTGATAAGTTTTTTGAAAGACCACAGTCAATCTGCTAGTAGTCATACTTTGGAAAAAAAGGTACACATATTTTTGTGGCTCTTGACAAATGACGACTCCTTTAGCGACGTAGGAGTATTGTTTGGTTTGAATAAGTCTACTATAAATAATATATTTTATGAGGTGGCCGCGATACTGGCGGAACTACGTTATCATTTCGTAAATTGGCCATCAGCTGAAGACCAACATGTAACAAGGATTAAGGTGAATAGTCGATATAGGTTTCCTAATTGTGTTGGATTTATCGATACTTGCCGCTTTAATATTGGATCAAAAAGAAGGAAGGGAAAATTAGATATTGTACTCTTGCAAGCTGTGTGTGACGAAAGCCTTATGTTTACTGATATACACATTGGTAGCGTTGGATTGACAAAGAAAAGCAAAGTTTTGAAAGAAAGCGAATTAACTAAGAAATTGCGAACCTTCGTCGATTTTGAAAATCATATACTTGGCGATTCGGAATATAAATTAAAGAAAAATTTAATAACACCCTTTTCTAGTGAAGAATTACTAACAAGCGAAGAAATGAAATTTAATGAAATGCATTGGAAAGCTCGTAGTTACATCGGAAATGCATTTGAACTACTCAAAGAGAGATTCACAAGATTGAATCATATTGATGTGACTAAAAGGGAAGCTGTTTGTAATTTAATATATTCTGCATGTGTACTTCATAATTTTATTTTATTACATGAAGGATCTTCACAAATTAAGGAAGAAATTGTTATGTGTGATGACGGTGTTACTATTGACAGAACCATTGTTCAGTCAGCACTTGAAAAACGTCAGTTTCTTTGCAATTACGTTAATTATATAGATTTAGAAACTACATTCACATTGCCATTAGATTTATGATTAGGGTAAGAAAACACAACATTATTTAATAATACTTTTATTTCTCCACTATTATGGAAAAACGATAAAATTTCTAAGTATGTATTAAAATTATTTTTTCGTTATATAAAAAAATATAAATAAATTGTTGAATATTGTTATTTAATTGCTGATTTCTGAAAATGTACAATGATTTTGCTTTCAATAAAAGAAAGTGTATCTATATATAAAGTTATATTATTTTATTCACTATCCATCCATACAATAAAGTAAACAATTTTTATGGAGTGGAAAATATACAGATTTTTTTCTGCTTAACTTAATAGACTTTGATAAGTTTACGGTGGGAATACTTGATTTTTAGATCTGGTGGTTACTTCAATTATTGCTTCCACATAGGTAAATCACGTTTGTTTTCTTAACGTATATATCAATTCAGGTTACATCCAAACTAAAAGTTGAAATAAGTTATAAAAATAATTGTTTTGATAGTCCAGTATTTTACTTAATTATATATACAAAGCTTGACAAGCTTGATTTCATTTATGAAACTGAAACTAAAGAAGGCCCACTATACATACATACTATGTATATGCTCTCCTGATGTATCTAATATTCTAAATTACATTAGGCACTAAATTGGCAACCTACAAGGCACTATGCACTTAGCACAGCAATTTATACTATTAACATTTTCAACTGCATTTTTAACAAGTAATAAGTATATTATAATAATAATATTACGTATATGCAACAATTTTAGAAATTGATATAATCTTTCAAAGATGTAAAAGTATAGTTGGGTGGGTTTGAATCATTTAGTATAAATATTGGTAATGTATTTTATTTGGGTAGTTAGTCGTATTGTATTTATTGAGAATGTGATGGGTACGGCCCAGACAAGAGGTAATAATCCAAACTGCGCCGTTATATTAGATATTATTAATGTAGACATGCTCGCAATACCATGCCCATTTTAATATTGTTTGAATGATATAGTTTATTCCTGTGTTTAGATCAGTTACTAAACACATTTTCGAACCATATACAGAGTCGTTAGAAAAAACGACTTGTTGATGAAATAAAACTGAATATGAATTATATCAACGAGTACAAGCTATAAACTGTAATATACTTAATGTACTACCTATAAAAGTTTTTGATTGCATTACGCTAAATCATGATAAACGTAAATAACGTGGATCATTTGTCCCCAATTTATTAACCTTATAACTTATTTTATCATTTTATATACAAATTTATCTATTTACAATAGCTGCGCTGAAATCTTATAATTATAACTAAACTCATGGAATGTAATAATTGATATTTAAAATACTAAAACTGCAATATTTGATTATATAATAAAATAAATATTACCAAGAATTAGTATTAGTTGAATAACGCAGTCTCTACGTTCGCTGATACTCTTATTCTTTAAATGCAATCTTGGCTAACGTAGAGAGTTCGTTTACCTTGAATGAAAGTCTGATTTCAAACTACTGATACTGTACAATGACATTAATAACAATATTTACAATTTTAACATTAACAGTGACATTGAAAACATTGATTGTTCTAACCGAGGTACCTACTCGGAAGACTTGGCACACGCGACGTGCATTTGCAGGTTTTGCAGTCACTTATCAATTGATCCATACATTGTTTGTTTGGGTAATTTTCATATATAAGTCTTTTTCACTTTTTGCAAGGTGCCACACTTAAGATCCTTATCGAGGGATTCGGTCGAGTTTCGCAAATCTAACGTGCGCTCTTTCCCAAGTTCCAAGTGCAAGTTGTCTTGTTTCGCCAAGGGACAAACATTAGCTACCATATTGACATTTTTAGATCTCGGCGGCATGTATGTCGTATTCGCATTCAATGGTGTTTCCAAAGGACTCAATCTGAAATAAAAGTTTCATTTTAGATTCTGGTGTATTCTATTTTTAATAAATTGTTTTATCTGTTATTATACAAACCTGTTTAAATGATTGTGTTGTTCATTGAATGGCGAAGTATCTGTAAAAAAAGGGTGCCGAAATCTTCTTGAAAATAGATATCCTATTACAAAACCGACCATCAGAGTGACTAGACAAGAGGCGACCACTGCAGTGAGTAGGGCTTGTGCACTATAAATATTTCCATCTGCTGCCTCAACTGTTAGTAAATCTGCAATAGAATATAAATTTAAATATAAAGAAAAAATAAGATTATAAATATTTTTAGAGAATTTTATAGACACCATTTTTATAGAAATCTTTAGTTTATTTACCTGTTTCGTGTTTGTTATTATTTGAATTTTTATCTTCTGATAAAACATTAGTTTCTACGACCTCTATTAATATTTCATTTTGAATATCATCCGCTTTTTGACGAATATCGGTTTCGGATAAAATGGGTTTCTTAGTACCAGGATTTCTGTTACTGTGTCTTTCACCAGTCATGAGGGGTGGCAACTTATTACAAATATCAGTCTTTCCATACTCTACATTTTGTAGAAATCTCTCGGGATTAGGAAATTGCCTGTTTCCGACCCAAGAACATTGTTGCTGTTTAGCGTCCCAAGCGCAGTGAGGATCTTGCAACGCTACACAATCTCTGAAAATGAAATATTCAATATATATTACAGCCGTAATTTAACTTTAATTTAAACTTTTGTTAAATACTAGATAAAAAAAAATACCTGCACGTTTGGACATTCCCACAATGTGATAATGCAACAGATTTTATTATATCGCTTGACGCAACTATCAACTTTTCTGTTGTCAATGCCACATGCATTTGTTTAATTGCTGTTCCTTGAGGCAGTACCTGCACTTCTGAAATGACAGAAGTTCTAACTGGACTTCTGCTGTATTCATCACTTCCATCAAATACGCCTTCATTAGCTGCCACATTGACAGCTTTTATTACCCGTCCATCGTCCGTGCCGACGTAAATGACATCGTATTTATTGCCATTCATAGCTTGGACTTGAGAGTGAACAGCAATTGCAGAAAATCTATATTGCAAGCTAACTCTAATGAGAAGTGGCCGTGCTAGGAACGATGGTACGGCCTTATCCATCAAAGGGTGTGTCTTAATAAAATTAACAGCAGAGTCCGATAAGGTTCGACTGTCCTCAACACAAGAGCCCGGTCTTGGTGATGGCACTTTTTCTTTTTCGAGAGGTAGCCAATTTGAATTCATACTTTCTTGACCTTTGAATGTACCTTCAAATGCATCGATGATATCTCTCATTGCAAATGCGCAAACAGCTGATCCTCCTATTGCATTTTGTGGAGTCGTAAACACGGCGTATACTATGTCATTTCTACTACTTCCACTACCATATATTCCACTAATAAGTTCTGTTGTTGCCTCTGTAATTGATAAAGATAAAAATATAAAATTGTATAACATCACATATATTGTTCAGACTCTCAGTTAAGTTAAAAAAGCCACTCTGTTATGAAAATCTGGAAGAAGCATTGTATGTACCACCAATACTTCAAAATACTTACGTATTTCATCGAAATAGAAAGGATATTCTCCAGGCATAGAACAGTTAAGGCGTGTTTTTAAGAACGATGTCCATCGATCACTGAAAGTATGAGGACCACCTTTATCATTTAGACATATTCTTGCAACTCTAGAGTAGACGGCCTGAAACGATAACACAATATTATCATCCACTACAGGTGATGAGTAGAGAATGGTGGATATACTACAAATTTATTTCAAATCAGATAGAAGAATCGAATCTATAGGATACTCACTTTACCGCAGTTCATATATTCAACTGCTGTTTCACGATAAAAGAAATACACATGACTGGTAGTAGATATTGCTCCTACGAATGATGGGTCGTTAAGCAAACGGAGGTCTGATCGTTCTGTACGAACTGGTTCTCGGTATATCAATGGATCAGTTCCAGAGAAGTCTGCTGCAGTTGCTGTGTAGAGTTGACCGTCTGCAAATATGATTGTGATGTTAAAAAATATGGTAAAAAAAAATCAATAAATATAAAATCAGCAGTTGATATGTAATTGTGTTTCCGTCTAAAATAACAATTATTGTTTTCTAGTTTAGAAGTTATATTTGTAACTGTAATAACTTTGGCAAAACACAAATAATTATTTGTTACTGTAATTTGAATTGCACTCTATTTGTTAAAATTAGAGGGTCACTCGTCAAAACGATGAAGATAGTTTTAGTTAATAAGGTAGGCGAATTGATGAGAAATTGCAGTATTTATAAATCTGTTTTAAGGATAGAATAGAAATAAACTTTAAATGTAATAAATCAATGTGCGCGATATCGGCAGATCGTGTCGTGCCCAGTACAGCCCCTCTTTGAGATGCGCATGAACCTTTGCCATCTTTGTAAATGACGTTGGCACTATGTAATCATGAAAGTTTAAACCAAAGTGCATCGCTTTAAATGTTACCGAGATGTAGAATTTAGATATATAAAAAAATATAAGTAATTATCACTATATTGTGTATGTTTTAGAGAACTTAAATAATACATCGTTTCTTAGAATAGATTCAGGCTGGGCGTAAAGATAAAAGGAGTTAGGAATTGTCAATGAGATAGGAGCAGTGGATGGCGTATCGCGCATGTAAAACTATTTTTAATTACTCGCAAACCATTACAATTATAGAAAGTTCTCCGTAAAGCTCTTAATTACAAAGTGTCTCAAAATTTAATATCCCCATAAAAAGAGCATAATTTCGAAATGGAAGAAATTGTTAATTTTATCTATCGAGGAAATTTTATGAACTCACATTTTGACTGTTAAAAATATATTTTAAAGTTAGTGATTTTTGGCTAACCAGATTCGTAATACTTTTTAAGAAAGCAGCTAACTAACGGTTTATATATGAAGTAACATTGGTGTGTTAATAACTTACCGGCATATATAGCCGTAGAGTTGTGCTGAGGATCATAAGGACAGCGGCCAGATCCGTCAAATTCTTCGTGGTGATGGCTGATCGAGTGACTGGCGTATCGTCTGCACAGCGGCTTGAAGGCGTTGGTGCCGCATACTAGTAGTCGGCCATGGGAGCGGGCTGCGACTCGAGGGAAGTTTTGGCATTCGTCAACTGATTTGCCTTTTAGCTGGCATAGCTCTCTGTGTGCATCCGTCGATTGCCATTCTAGGCGCTGAGGGCAAAAATCGGGATTCATAAAAAAATATTTGTGAGGTTTGCGTAGGGGAAGGTTTCGAATAATATAAAAGACTTCCATAATCATGTATTTATATTCGTATATAGTATAGTTTATATAGTTTTTGCGGGAAACAGTAACAAACATATATTATCACAAACTTTTCGTTTATGATATTACGTAAGAGTACTTTTATGAATATTAAAGTCTTTCACATAGAACGGGTACGGCGACGTTTGAGATTTGAAGTTAGATGTGGTATTTAAAAATATATAACCTGTAAACCAAAACTCGATATTATTGAATTCATTTCTAATAAATTTATTCATCAACAAGATGAACCAGAGTAAAAAAAAAAAAAAAAAAATTATTACAGTTAAGTACAGATTTAGAAGTACAGATTACAGATAACGACAACAATGTTAAAAAAAATTCAAATGATGTTTTAAACTTCAGAGGGTTAGATTTCAGTAATTATGTCAAATAAAAATTTATTTATCTTTTAATAAGCAAATTAAATTAAATATCTAATACATATCGCACACCTAGATCTAAACTAAGACAACTCAAAACGCTAATTTGGAGGTTTGACAATACATTTGTTTACATGGCAGGAGCGCGACCACTGTTGATTCAACAAAAGAAAGCTAAAGTTATCTAGCGGTTCATCCCCGAACCTTTATTGAATCTGTTATGTTGGATAGATGCGTATGATCACCAAGTATTTGAATATTGTACTAAGTCAAAACTCACTCAAATTTTTGAGTTGTCTCAGTTTAGATCTAGGTGTGCGATATATATACAGTCGAACAATTTTTATAACGATAGATTTTAATTGTTTGGAAATACAAAATGGGTGAAGTGAATATGTTAACAAACGTCACCGTACCTATGCAATGTGAAACGAACCATACTATCATAAACAATATTGATGCTAAAATAATTATCAGTGCCTTGTTTTCGACTGTTAATCATATCGGCGTTTGTATAAGAATTTAAAAGATAAAATTATGAAATGTTTCGCAAACTAAATGATATTTGTACAATGTGATAACCGTAGTTGCGTGTATTGTTTAGAGAATATAAATTAGCGTATTACAGCTCGTGGGTCGCATTTAGAACAACCGGTTGACGCATGGAACAGCAATTGGCGCCCATAATCGTATTTCAATAAAATGTTTCGACATCGAATCGCATCCTTGATCCTGATTGTTATCGATGTTTTATCGTTTATAAATAACGTCTTAAACAAATTTGATAATAAGTATGAATTGCCTCAAACGGCTACTAAACATATTTACAAGGGCGCTAGTAGTTTGACCGATGAAATTCTTTGCATTAAATTAAATCTTGGTTTTTCATTTCTTTTTAAAGTTTCCCAATAAACCTTGGTTAACCAGTGAAATTAACTAATTGGATTAGTGATTTATATTTTATCATTTTTAAGATCTATAGTACGAGTAACTGATAAAAATACGCCGAAAATTCCGATATTTTTTATAAATTAATGTAAAATTTTTAGGTAGGTATGAATACGTTATCAATAAAAAATAGGAAACTTGTAGTAAAATTGCCTATTAAGAGATCCTTTATAGTCCAGTCCATTTGAAAATTTATCATTTTGAATCTCTTAAAGTAGATAGATCAACATAAACCCTGAATCATAACGGCTTTTTGTCAAAGTATTGGCAGATATGATTACCTACTCCATGTTGCCGGACAGTCTATTTTCACAGTTATTATACCTATGTATTTGTGCAAATAATGTATTTTGATAGCTAGTAGAACTACAAAATAAGAAGTGTGTGTTTTCGTTACATAAATATTGCATTAGAACTATAGTGCAAAATTTATGAACTGTGACCACGAAAACATACTTGATCAAGGACTAACAGGACTTTGAGCCAGTTAAAAATATACAATTTACTATTTTTCTCCACTTTTGGACTATTAATTGTGGAATTATTTATAATATAATCCAAAAATATAACAAGATGCCTGTTCATTTGATGTTTTTTGAATTGAATAGTTACCGTGGTTAAGTTTGTATTAGGACATTTAGTTCAGTAATCTCGGAAGTCAAACCGATCTGAGCATGAAGTCATTATTGGTTGATAGTTCTTTTCGTAAGATAAATCTAAAGAATTGGTGCGACCTACAGTATAAATATTGACGATAAATTAAAGTAACTACCGCAAAATAAAACAAATTTTATCAAGCTGTTGGCTTGTTAGGCAAACCTTATCAATGACCTGCATTTCACGAAGTGTTCGATAACTTTCATAATCATTGTCACGGATAGCTATATTATTATGTAAGTAATACTGCAATTAACTGCACTTTTCATTGGTAAAAATTAATGGCAATGGTATGGAGGTACATGATTATAATGTTTTAAATGAATGACTCAGTGTAATACTATAGTGATGAGATATTTCCTGTGATATAATTTACGACGCATGCCACGTTACGATGTTGACAGCTATTGCGTAGGTATTCAAATTTATACAAAAGCAGACAAATATTATGTTAACGCAAATAGATATCTACCTGTTCCACGTTTTCCGATAAGTCGTATAGGCTGAGATTGTAGACAGTGTTTCTGTAAAAAAAATACTCTAAATTAGATAGCAATAAACATGTGCTTTGTATAGGGGCTTTGCGTAAAATATGGTATAAAAATCATCGTTATAGTAAATCAATATCAATAAGTTATGGTAAATAAAAATAAGTAAAATAAGTATGGTTGGCCTGTCAGATTCGAGTTCTAGTAAGTATCTTGACTTCAAACACACAGAAATGGTAGCGGGCAAGTTCTGTTGTGTGCGACAACCGTAATCTTGGCAATTTTAGTCCAATTTGAAAGATAAACTTAATTTTAATGTTACCCTGATCATTCCCCAGCAATTCTTGCGGCCGCTGAGATTTCGACGTGTTTTGGTTTTTGCTAGAACTAGATACTCGAGTTATTCGATTACGTAGTGAAGATTATTCAAAAAATTTAAGCTCTTTTAATATTTACAGAGTGAAAAAAATTATTCAACAAGATTCGAACACTAACGGATGCTATTACTGCAAGAACATCAAGGTACTAGTAATTTAATTGCATTTTGATGATTATTTTCTGTTAGGCTAAATGCTTAAAGTAAAAAAAAACTAAAGAGTATAAAACAGCAACGCGACACGTGTCTTTATTTATGTTATGAAAGTTGAAAAGTATGATCTCACCTGCCGCCCACAATAATGGATAAATTATCTTTGTCTAATATACGGAAGTGATCCGGCGCCGTTGCGTTGCCCACAAACTGTTCTGAAGTTTCATCGCCTGTAACAAACCAATTTATTAAAAGTTTTACCGAGTCACTACGACTTAATAGACCTAAGAGCACCCCAGGAATATTATGTAACTTTTGATATTATCGTGAGTGATCGAATATACATTCAAGTCATCAGTGAGTCGGCATGATCCGCAAATATCATGTGTGATTATTAATGTAAGTGATTAAAAAACTATATGAATAGTAGAATTGAAATGGAACAATGGATGAAATACCTGGGTGTTACTGCCGTAATATCATCATAAACATCAGTCCCATTCTAAAATCATACCTATGCCTAGTAAAGTATAAATATAAGGTAGAAGATTAAGTTTCCTTGAATTCATACCTCAAAGATGGCAAGTAAGCGATTTTTTTTTTCGGGCGACGTAGAATCTTTTTGTGGTTAGATAAAGCGAACAATGTTCCTATTGTGTTACGATTAAACGGTGAAAATTCGCGATTGCATAACAATTGGTCTTAAAATTCTCACGTGTTTGCCGATACCACACCGGGTATTTACACCCGTGTGACTGAATTTGAAGAAATATTATACGTTTCAATGTAATCGTTCGTATTTACATTACCTAGATATTCTGGAAGCGATGCTGCCTATGTCTGAGTAGGTAATTTAAACTAACATTCAAACGCTTTCCTATGAGTCAAAATGAATATTATTATCTTTATTCAAATGGAAAACTCGTCTGTTTGCTTGATAAATAATAAAATTTTAATCTGTTGGATAGTCGTAATTGGCTTTTACATTAAATTGTAATTTTAGTTTGCAGTGAGATGTGTACTATCCAGTTAATATTAATATCCAGTTTTGTTATATAAAATAATATTACTAATCTGATTTCGTTACAACTTTCAATTGAGAATATAACTACCCTTTTTAAAAAAATCTGAATAATGAACATTAGCTTACTGCTGATAAAGAAATTTTAACCGAAGAAAAGCTTTCAGTTTTGAGAACCTATTTTTATGGTCGGTTAAAAATAATTAGCGATATTCTCATCTAAGAGCGTATGAAACATTAAGCAGATTAACCGAGTTGACGATTTATTTGCTCGTAAAATTGTATCGCGTGGAAGTAATTTGACTTGAGTGACAATGACAATAAATGTATTATTATCTATATAGGTACTTATTTATTACTTACCATATTTCACATGGATACGTGCGTTGGCGTCTGGCATCCAGGCTTGGGCCGTGGATGCTAATAGTACCAGAATGGCGCGAGCAGCTGCCATATTGATTTAGAACCGTCTCCTTTCTATGTACGCCATCTTCCACTGCGCACTGTAACAATGATAAAATAAAAATCATTCAGTGCAACGAAAGAAAAGTATTGTCTGGTACATGAAATTGACGCTGAAAAGCCGTGGCAGTTAAAAAAACCATTTTCTATATCTGCAGTTACTAGGTATGTACCTAGGTTTGAATAATTTTAAAAATTTTAATTATTTGACAAGTTATGAAATTTAGTAATTATGTTCTGTGCATATTTTGTCCTATTTAAATATGATTCCTAAATTGACGTAGTTTACTGTCGACTTGGTGGATGAAAAAATTAATTGAAATTTCTTTAGTTCTGATGACTACCTGTACAATTGTATATAAATTCAGTAAGTATAAATCCAAGATGACCGCAGCCAACATATTTATCCTTCAACGTGGGTATCAAAATAAAGGTTTAAGAAAAATAATGCATAAAAAGTAAAATCGACTAATTCATTTCAAATAGGAATCCGAAAATTAGGATCCACTATTAGCTTCTTAAACAAAACTTAGTCCAAATCTGGATCATAGTGTTAGACAGTAAAATAAATTTTCTTGTAATAAAATATAGTGAAAATAATTTTTAGTAGGTAATAGTCTGTCTCACTCACGAACGACTTAGGTAATAGGTATATGCTGGAATTATCCTTTCACAGAAAAATGTACCTAAGTCGTAACTTTTGTCGACGTCATTAATTATTGCAAGGATGCTGTACACGCACGGTGGTCAAGCAGGTTCCCGTTCACACGGCGAGTATGCATGCATGCAACAGTATGCATCCGGACAATCAGGATTCACATAATTATGTATTTATTTTTGTACCTTTATTTTATCTATTCTCGTGTCCGTGTGAAACAGAACCCGATAGGCTTGAGATCTTGATCACTGCGTCATCCATTTTGTTGAGAACATCTCGTTTTAATCCACCCTTTATGGCTCGATACGCTTTATAGCAAGACATTTGCGTTTTTTATGCTGATATTTTACTTTGAATTACTATCGTAAACTGGATAACGTTGTCGAATGGGTTATAAATGGGAAATTGCTATACTAGATAGGTATCTTACTTTTTAATGTACTAGTATTACTTATAATATTGTTATTTTAATATACAATGGTAGTAATACATTTTTATTAAATAATAATTATAGACTTTTATGCAAGTTCTATATGGTTAATTTCGAGCTTTTGACTAGCGCACTCAGATCTATGTGATATCGCTTAACTTGAAAAAAGCTATACCACTACAGATAAAGACAATTATTTAATGAACAAAAAATATTAATCCACGTTACATTACCTACACATAATCGTCTTTGTATACGACAGTAAGATAAGAAGTACTTGATGTTCATATTTTGCTGATTTTGAAAAATATAAGTAGATTAATGTAATTTATATGTTAATATGTCGTGAATAAGATATATAAAAAGCATAACTGTAATAAATGTTAACTTCAATGTAGAGCAAGCTCACTCACTATTTTGGGTACATGGACTTCTTAGATCCGTTTTTAAAAGATAAGTTTAAGTAATTGTAATAATTTACTATTTTGAGATACTTAAGTAGGAATATATTTACCTAAATGCGGTTTAGATAGTATTTTTTTACAAATAAGAAATATAAAAAGCATAACTGTAATGAGTGTTGAGTTTGCGGCAAAACTCTGGAACTTGGCGCACTAGGCAAATCACTAGACCAAAGCCCATAAAAAAAAAAACAACACAATACAAGACTAATGTAGGTACACGATGTACATCGTTTAAAGAGGGTAATTTGACTATAGAAACTCCTTAGGTAAATTGGTACTGCTGATCTGAAAATTTCGTACTATTGAATACCATAGACATGGAGTCATGTTTAAAGAACAAAAATATTTTTTTTAAGGTACTGTAATTTAAGGCTCAAATAATTAGAACAAACATAATCAGTTTGCCGTGCCATGCCGCCCCCCAAATAGGAGCGCCCTAGGCAGTGGCCTATTTTGCTTATATGGACGGGGCCGGCCCTGTGTGTGTAGAGCAGACTCACTATTTGGGGCACATGAACAGTTGAGAGTTGTGTTATTACCTCCGCTTACAAATATACTAAATACGCATTGCGAATAAAGACGCTTCGCTTGATTTCATTCCTATTTAATCACATTTAAAAATTGCAATGTATTATACATTGAAGTTTAAAAAAAATTTTTTGGTCATTTTAGATTAATATCAAAGCCTATTTTATTATATAATTTGTATATAGTTAGGATGATATATACTAGTTGTAAAACAGAAAACTTATTGTTTAGATTTGCGATTTTTTTCCTATCGAGCTAATTATTGAAATTTACGTTTCTGTTTTAGAAAACAATCGACTGTATGTTTAATTTTCTTAAACTGATTTTACTTGGCAAACATAAGAATAGCCTTAGAATAAAATTTGGTTTAAAAAGTGGTAATTTACAAGTTAAAGTATAACTTCGCCTTAATTACGCATTTTCGCTTACAATGTCTATTTAAGCCTTATTTTCTTCAATACATAAATAAAGTTTCGTTCAATACCGTTATGATAAAAGTGTGATTGAATATATATGTGTGGAGAGTGGGGTATCACGTCCTGTAATAATAACAAATCGATAATTTATTTTTATGCTTGCTATAATAACGATAACGTATGATAACGGTAAGCCGGCATAATATAATTTCCAACTGTAAGCTAGGTATGGTGCGGAATAAAAGAATTTCGATCTAATATTTTTATTGCACGCATTCGAATTGAAGATTTTATTGATAAATACATAAATTAATATTAGACAAAATCGCATATACTTACTGCCTAGAACTTTTTCTAAAACCTTTGCTAAAACACTTGAAGTCATTTTCACTTCAATTTTGATACCTAAATATTTGGGCATTGTTAAAGGTAAAAATATGTTTCATCAATGATAAGGAGCCACCTAATGACATTAAGCAACGCTTAAGTTTAGGAGATGCATTATACGGTTTCTTCTTCTTTTATTAATGGCTTATCTGCGCATTTCACACAATTCTGCCAATGTCAAGTGAATAAATTTATTTCTACATATAAAATGAAAATGAAACGAATGAAAGATGGCGATGATCCGGAAATAAAAATGTATTTCATTATACGGTTTGATAAGTGAATACCTATTTAGAGATTGGGCGGCTCTGACATGTGACAGATATATTTACTCTTTGGCTATTACGGATGTGTCAAGGGATAAAATCAATTTAGTAAGTTGGAATCAAAGAGTTTATATGTTCGAATTAAGATATAAACAATGATATATTTGAATTTTCTAACTTTTATATATATAGACAATAAAGACTTGGGTGCTCGTGTAAAATACAAGACCATGTATAATTTTTCTTGTGTTATTACCTCGAAATATGTATTTTTGTTATTGTTTCTTTACCTTTAAAGGTGACTAACGTAACATTCGCGGAAATGTGTAAACGCAAATAGGCCGTACATTATTAAAAAAGAAGAACTGAAGCATGCAAAATCATAAACATACGTTGCTGCTTAGTATGGTTTTACAGGACATATTAAAGAGAAACTTGAAAAAAGAGAGAAATTATAAAGGTCGACCTTATTGCTACGTAGCAATCTCTTCCAGGCAACCCGAGGCATGATGAAAGAAAAAAAAACGATAAAATAAATAAATAAATTTTCGTTAGAGTTAAGTGCCCCCCCCCCCCCCCCTCACAACTAAACGGTCGTTAATGAAAATTCAAACGGCAGCAGTACCTATATATAGGTACAATGAAGTTAGACGGAAAACTATCATACCTATGTTGGCTTTACAAATTTACGAGTTATAGTTGAACAAATGTATTTAACTCGAAAATTTCGAAAGACTGCATGGAAAACGACAAACGTGATTTTTTTTTTACTTTTTCTAATGGATAATGGTACGTAACCCTTCGTGCGCGAGGCCGACTCGTATACGGCATGTTCTTTTAATAGAAATACTTTGATCCTATTCTATCTGTTGTCCCTATTCTGTATAATTATGATTAATGAGACAGACTCAGTTCCGGCATTGAAATAACATGTGAACTATACCAGTTGTTATTTCAGTGCAGTAGTTTCCTTATCTAACATTCAATTCAGTTCCATAAAACTATTTTTAAGTGTGTTGAACGCTTTGAACACATTTCAGTGATATTACGTTTGTTTGATCCTTTAAATATTTTGTGTTATGTGGTATCTTCATCGTCATCAGCCCTTTTACGTCCCCACTGCAGGGGCTCAGGCCTTCCTTATGGATGGTTAAGGAGGATGGGCCATGACCCTTCACACTGCCCCAATGCGGATTGGAGGTTGTGGTATCTTACAAACTTCTAAATAAAATTATTCAATTTGTATTCTTATTAAAACCGGTGTAAGTATCGACACATCAATCCAATAATTGCAAATACTCGCGGAGTCTCGACTAAAAATAATAATTCGATCGGACCATTTGTCACCCATTAAAAAGGGTTGATTCAAGATCACAAAACTAATAAGAGGCGTGGTGTACATTTTGCACAGATGCCTTACAAACGATCTGTAACATAATTGCCACATGCCCGTTTATCCATCTGTTTTGGTTTGTTGCAGTATCCATGAGCAAATGGAGTCTGTTGTTGTGCGTCATGCAATAACTTGTTGGGGTGGTGAATTCCGCCACCGCCGTATATTACTCGAACCTGTAATTTATCGAGTTCGATCTAGCGGCGCAATTACAGCGCTAAATAAACGGGCGGTTATCGAGTGGAAGATAATAGCATCGTTATTTCAACAAAATCCCGATGTGCTCCTTTAACGTACATACCTAACTGTACAACCCGCACGCAATGAATTGAGCAAAATTTACGGAATAGTGCACATGTGTGTCTTTTTCCTGTACATTTATAAGTAACCTGTATCATGTTTTGCTGTTTGTTAATTAAATATTAGGTCCTTACATATTAAAGTTGGCGTTTTGTCATACTGGCCACTTTAATCACAAATTTCTCCTCCTTGGTTGGGAATTCCAAATTCAAATTTATACAGCCATTTACACATGTATATGTGTTTAGTTAGGCGAAATTCATTACAGTGCGCGGTAAATGAACTACCTATGAGATGGCAAAAGTGCATAGATAACAATGTTTTATACTTTGCTTAAATAAATATATTATATTAAAAAATATTCGACTTTTTGTTCATCCCATCATCATCAGCCCTTTTACGTTCCCACTGCAGGGGCTCAGGCCTTCCTTGTGGATGGTTAAGGAGGATGGGCCATGACCCTCCACGCTGGCCCAATGCGGATTGGAGGGTATTAACGACTGCAAATGCAGCCGGGACCATCGGCTTAACGTGCCTTCCGAAGCACGGAGTAGCTCGAGATAATAATTTTTTGGTCACCCATCCCGTGACCGACCCTTGTGAAAGTTGCTTTACGACTACGATCACGCTAATCCACTACGCCACCGAGCTACTCTTCATCCCATACCAAACACCAATTTCATATGTAAGGACCTAATATTATTTACACTTTTACCATGTACCAATATTAGTGTGAAAACAGCAAATCTTATTTAGAAACTTCGTTCTTCAGAACAAGATCGATTTTCTGTACGGTTAATGGTATTCGACAGTTTCCAATTTTCAAAGTAAATATTCTCAAGCAAATTCAAAAGCTATATTTGCTTCTGATAGATGTTCGAAAGGACCACTGGAGTCTATCGATTTCTACGCCGGTTTTATGGTGTCGCATGTGACGGTCGAAGTTCATTCTCATCAGGTTATTATGAAAAATTATTGTTTTTATTGTCTTGGGTGTCGGTTTTTTTGGTAAGTAAAAGTTGTCATGCAAAAAGGTTCCATGACTAAATGTACATAAATATAAACTTATGTTTTTTTACAGACATGATTCATTAATTTAACGTTAATATATAAGAATTTAAAACTGGGTATTTGATTTCGGTTTATTATGAGATTTTCAAACTTATCAATTACAGTACATACCTACTCGATGATAAATATAACACTTTGACCTTTGTATTAATGTATTTCCTACAATAATATCTCGATAGTTTTTTTTTATAAATAGTGTTATTTATAAACAGTTTGATTTTATTATTGTAGATATACCTGCTTAAAAATTCATCACTTCGTCTCAATCATCCTTATCGCTCATCCTTTTGAAAGGTATTTGAATACTTGGGTGACAAAAATTTTGTTGCATAATTCATGATTTAACTTTTGCGTTTTCTTTTCTAACTAAAGACGTTGACTGTTATTTAGGAGCTATAGGTTACGTGATAAAAATAACATATTGTTGATACCACCTTCGAATACGTAATAAGAAAAATAAAAAAAAACGAATGCATACATCGGTAAAGGAAATGTACCGAGAATTATGCAGATCTCATAGTCATTGGTTGGTATTGCTAACATTAAACTACACTGCTTTGATATTTTTACTTCAACCGGTCGTCTGGTTTGATACAAGTTCGATCGTCCGTAAATTAACTTTTGAAATGATAAAATGCTTCTAAACTATAGTGTAACGAGTTGTGTGGCTCATAAACAAGTTCGGTTTGCAATTACGGACGCGGCTGTCATTTGAGCCTCGGGCTCGAGGCGAAGTCCCACACGATCCCACGCGACTCGGGAAGCTGCGGTCTTTTTCTCTAAACCGCAATAAATAATTCTGTTGAGAAGCCTCGGGCTAACGTACGGCTAGAGACTTTGCTAAAGACGCGAAAAGAGAGTTTCGCGCCATTTTTCCATATCAGCTTATATTTTATAGATGCTACTGGCGACATCACGCGTGAGATGTGTTTCACAAAACGACGTGATACAGATAGAAGGATTACTACGTGATGAGACTAGAATATACGAATTGGGACACTATTATGATAAAATATTCAGTAGCTTTGAATGTGGAATGGATGTGTTGTCATTAAAAGATTACAATATTTTGCTGCGTATTGTTGCCCCGAATAGTTACAATTTTTTGCGTAGATTTAATTGATAATAAGTCAAAACAGTGATAGTGAAATTATCGTCATTTTAATTTTAGGTAATATTTCACCGACAGCACATTTTTGGATTACAATATTAGCTGTTATCTCTACCTATATGCCAAGAAAGAACAATGATTTGTTGATTGATTTTTATGAAAACTTATTTCAACGATAATTTAAAACATAGCTATCATAAAAATATCATTGACAATTTAATCATAATTTCGGTTAGGGCGCCATCGGGCGTAATTTTAACTTCTGTTGTGGTTAACTATGACATTCGTTAGATGGCGTTACGTGTTCGATTTAGTATTAAAATTTTAGTAACAAGTTTACACTTCATCAAGTAGTTAATTTGTTGATATAAAATGTAATAAGAAATTGACTTCTAATGGAAATTATAAGGCCAAGCTATGTGTAAGTATTCAAATAATTTGTATACGATACCGTTAAATTGTCGTATATAAAGACGTTGTTGTCTCTACACATACTTGAATTTTGCTCCAGATAATATTAATGAGAATAAATTTGTTCAATTGCTGCGAGACGTTGTGACCGAATTGTCTGTCATAGGTTTTTTAACTTTTACTGTCTGAATGAGATCACGTTTTGTATTTTTTCTAGGCTGAAATATAATAGGGCCTAGAATTTCATCTAAATATACACCGACTGCACTAATGGTAGAGCATCATGGAGTTGATATATTTTCTGTTTGTGAAACTTTAAAATTAATGTGAAGTAATGGCGTAGAGTTCTGATGCTAAAGACATAAGATAGTATATATAACTTGTACGAGTCACATTATTTTTAATAGCCAAAAATGACGCTGTTTTAATAGCTTTTTAATATTTAACTATTTTTAAATGGAGTCTATTGAGTAATTCTAAGACATACCGATTAAATAATTTTAAAGTCGGTCGCACATCTGTTTTGACGATGTAGTAGATGTTATGTAGGTATGGTATGACGCATTCGCAATTACGGTAGGATGCGATAATGTCATTCATTCATTAAGAAAGTAATATATTTGTTGGAGTAATTACTTCCTCTATTATAATAATTTAATTCGTGTTAATGAGGCAAATAAGAAAATAAGTTAACTGTATTCATAGCCTTTGTATAGTCAAGTATACGAAAATTTTTGTTTATTTTAGAAACTACTAATGCCATTCTAAATTAAAATTACCTTAAGATTCAATTTGATTAGACTGTGACTTGATTGCTTTAGTTGAAATAAAAGTATTAAATTGTTGTTTCAATAATCACTTGTAAGTACTGAAATTACGATTCTACATTTAAGTAGGTACGCCTGCAAATATTTTGAGCATGTATTGTCTTCGTCGTAAAAGAATCGTTAAAGAAACCAACTAATGTACATATCTAAAGTAAACAGATATCAATTGTTTTATCAATATTATACGAAGCATTTTGTTTAAGATTTGACGTTACAATACGTGAGAGTATATTGTGTGTTAGCTTTTAAAATTAACATGGCTGCTACTCGGTACTTTCAAAATGATAGTCTGCATACAACGTTCGGCTTACACACAACAATGGAGGATAGTGACAGTGTGCTTTTGCCTGTACAATTTGCTCCATGGAGTCGTCGACTCGTTCGTGCAACGGGTCCGCTTGCTTGCTGTGTCAACAATGGCGCTCTCTCCTTCGCTCCCCTATTCGACGAGTTTTTGTTTATGCCGCCTCCACTATATTCTGTGGCTATGCGTGTTTGCTACGGGCACTATGTAATTATACTCGTTCTTGGTAGTGGACACTTACCGTATTTTATTATTTACAGATTGAAGTAATCCAATTTATGCTGTCTGCCATACCGCCGATCATCGCATTGTGCAAGCAGTATATTTAGACACACAGCACGGCACTTAATTCCATATATCGTAGACACTGTAGTCACAACGGGCACTGACCACGGAAACCACTATAGTTGTATCACTTCGATCACTGTTGTCGAAACCGGTTCTCGAGTAAGGAGTGCAACAGTGAGTTGTATAGTGTTTACTAGCAGCGTGAAATCGGGCAGCGTAGCGCGTGGTCCCAACGCGCACGACAGAAACACTGGCGTTCGTTGGCGCGATACCCCTCCACTCTCGCGCCGCTGCCACGCCGTACCGCTCTACCTCCTTTTCTAACGTGCGTGTGCGTCGATGTAGCGTCTCGAGCGAGCCAGTCCTACGATATTTTTTGTTTTGTCTTGACGCTTTTAGATGGGGGACTATAAAACAGAATTGGATTTGGAAAAAATACTGAAATTTAAACACAGAGTGGAACTTAATGACACACAAGAGTTTAGTATTTGATATAGTTAAAATAAGTAATCGAAAACTGGTTTCGAAAGTTGTATATGTAATTAAAAACACGTTTGACAAGCTCGTTTCTATAATAAGTAGATTGGTAAATTTTGTTTAATGAATTGAATATCAAACATTATCCATCTTATGGGTTATGGGTTACATGCACATGTGGTAGTCTCAATACACGCACCCTCGCTGAGCGTTCAGGTAGAAATAAGTAACGATAGAGATGGGTATGAGGAACAAAAAATACTGGTAGAGTCGCGATGCATTGCAAACCGAAAAGGAAAGGGACCATTGTGCTGTAAAACAATATATATTTTAACATTGATGCAATTTAAATGTTCTTTACAATCATAAATTCAATGTACAAATAAATACACTGTTTGGACGTTTCCTATTTTCCATAAAAATTGTATTCGTAAAAAATTGTTATAATTGAAAATATTATATCACTCGAGTTTTCAATAGTGATCGTGGATCTTAAAATTATTTTAGTTACGGGTATCTATAATATTGAATTTATTAATTGAAAGTTTAAATATTTATGAAATATTTTATTCGACTGTTTGGGTAGATTGCCTGAACATTGATAAAAATACGCTCTGTATTAGAGTGCTTAAAACAAGTGCTTGAAAAATTCGTCAGTCCTATTAGGTCCTGGGTAGGCCAGTATTTTGAGCAGTCGCCCGGGTTGCAACATGTCCTGGGTTCGAGTCCATCTCAGAGTACCAAGGACAAAGTGGATTTTTAAGCGTTTTCGTTAAGAATATTATATATTATGTATAATATGTCAACCATTGTCTTCATTAATTGCATTATTTCTAATCGCTTAATGAAGTAAGTAGCTAATGTCTACTAGTAACTCGTGCAAATGGCATGAAATATAATTTATAAAACAGAAAGGAATTATTTTTGTTCCTATTGTTAGTTAATTTTAAAATACCACTTGGTATTGAAATACTTATTTTTATAATGGTCGTAGTAGAAAAAGTAAGCCATAAAGTTTGTCACGTTGTAAGAATATTTGTACGTGACAGGTGTTGTTTGGGAAGTTACCTGTGTTAATACCAGCACCACTGTCGTAGCACAGAATTCAATTCCCACAGAATCATTCACATATTTTTTTACGATATTTTATGTCGTTATAAGATTCAATTTTTTTTAGAACAAAATAATAACAGAAACATAAAAGCTGATATAGGCAGACAATGTTAAAAATTAATTTCTGTTTTTACTTACATTTATTGTTAAATTTTAAATTTTCTGAATAGTAAGTAAAAATACAAAACGGGAAAAGATATGAAATTATTTTTCGACATATACAGTCGTTAAAGATCAATCACATTTAACAAATAAGTACATTTAAATTAACATTACGAGAGTATTAAAATTGCATTATGAAAAAAATATTATTAATTAATGTGAAGTGTATATTTGACCTATTATACAAGAAAAGCGCTATATATAAAATGAAATTAAATAAGTAGGTGCAAACTACAAGTCGCCAGCGCAATCTGAATTAACGATGGTATCAAAACATCCACATTCAAAATATTTTTGTGAATTTATGTTTCTATATCGAAGCTGTCAGAAATCGAACTGGATTTGATATATAGTGACGATGCAGATTCGACATGTGAGTCCCCTGTGTATGACATTCAAATGAGATCAAAGACAGATAAATGTTTTTGATAGGTTTCTAAACTACTAGCTGAAGTTATATAAGGATATATATAAAGACCTTAAACTCTTGAATCGTATTTTTAGGAGCAAGAAAAAGTAGGATTAAAGCTTTGAGATAGAATTGCTGGGGTTTTAGTTGATCTTATTTTGCGTTACGTCAGTGTTATGTGCATGACAAATGTTCGCGATAGGGCGTGCGTCGGTCGGCAGGCTCACTACCTGCTCGGACTTATCAGACATCTGTGGACCTCTTCCTTCTTATCTTTCGTAATACATTGTTCTGGAGAAAGTACATTGCCACGTTACCAGAGATGCCAAATACATAATTAACTATGTTTATTATTATATTTGATCAATTTTTCATTCACAATGCTATACTGAAAAATGTTCTCAATGAAAAATTCTTAATATATTCACTTTGCCCCTGCTACTCTGAGATGGGAGTTGAACCCTTTCGTATTTCGGGCGACTGCTCTAACCACTGAACTACCCAGGATCTAAAAGCACTGACGAATTTTTCAAGTACTTGTTCCTTTTTACTACTACAGAGCGTATTTTCATCAATATTCAGGTAAAGGTCATGGGTTCGAGTTCCATCTCAGAGTGCCAGAGACAAAGTTGATTTTTAAGCGTTTTTCATTAAGAATAACTATGTTTATGTTATGATACTTCTTCTATATTAGTAGGTTGATACTCTAACTGCTGAAGTTTTGCTTGCCATTTAAAACTTTCGACCACACCGATCCAGAGAGAATTTGTGGTGATTGGTTACTACTTGAGTAGGTCGATGGCGTAGTGGATAAGCGTCGCGGCCCACGATCGTTGTCGTTAAGCAACCTTCGCAAGGGTCGGTCACGGGATGGGTGACCGAAAAATTATTATCTCGAGCTACTCCATGCTTCGGAGGGCACGTTAAGCCGTTGGTCCCGGCTGCATTTGCAGTCGTTAATACCCTCCAATCCGCATTGGGCCAGCGTGGAGGGTCATGGCCCATCCTCCTTAACCATCCATAAGGAAGCTCCTTAACCATCCTGAGCCCCTGCAGTGGGGACGTAAAAGGGGCTGATGATGATGATGATTACTACTTAAATGCAGTCTTGGAGTAACGCCTTAAATTGGCTTAAACTGTCTCCAGAAGTATGAGAAAGTTCGAAAAATTAAATTGTTGATCTCCTATTTAACTAAGGGACTTGCAATATATCAATACTCACATTATTAAAAAATATTTTAATGCAAGAGTTTATGCAGAAGTAACGGATTTAATTAAGATTAATCGTAATGAAGTAAAATCATGCATGTATGTCGTCATGCATGATTTAACATAATTTGGAGATATACTTACCTACGTAATATACGTTTGTGATTAGATTTGTTTTGTGAAATGGTCCCGGTTATTAAATTAGTGGAGTACTTAGAGACCGCCCAGTACGCTCAGAATACAGTTATATGCATCGGTACAAGCTCTCTTCTTTTTTGAACTTAATGATAGTTGAGTTGGGATATAACTGGCCCATTGAAAACAAACATAAGGAAACACTTCAAGATATGAATAGATATCTATTTAAAACAGATTTGATAGCCAGCATTGAATTTATAAAATAATAAGAAATGTTGGAGAATTCCTTTATGTTAATGACAGTTGTTAGATACTTTATATCTTCATTAGAATCCTTATATTTTAGAAAAAGTATTTTTTACCCATAAAAAAGTAGTTAGGTCTTTATCCTGAAAATATTTAAGTAATCATATTCATGTAAGTACAGTTATTTTAGTAGCAGAGCAAAATTTCTGGGAACAATAGTGGCAGACACACAATATTTGAAAGTTATCTTTAAATGCATACCAGGATCTTCCACAATGAAAAAAAAAGAATAAGTACAAATTCTAATTAGCCAAGTTATAACAAATACATAACTATAACTCAGTGTGTTTTAGCCCTAAATTACGTTATCAGATGCAAACGGTTTACGATCTCGCCGGAGCTTATTTGCATATCAGCGTCGGGTGTAGGTGCCGCAAGCCGGGGACAATATATTTCAGCGAAAGACGACAGTGCTATCTCTGCCTATTGTACGTAAGAAACGTACCTCTGTGACTGGCGGCCTGCCATATCCAAATGTAAAAAATCTTACGTGAAAACCAACCGTAGAACTTCTCCGGTTTTCCTTACTTATTTTTTATACCTACGTTGAAGTGCGTTATTTGTGGGTAGAAGAATATTTTAGATAAAAGTTTGTTAGGTTATTATTCAACAAGTTTCAACAACTATACATATGTAGTGTGTCTATAACATTTGTTGATGGTGCCACCTGATAGTGATCTTAATCTAATTTTTAATACAGTTGAATTATTTCAATTTCATCTTATTACTTTGTACTGTTACGTCAACATGTCAATGTCACTTTGACATATTAATGGTTCTGGCTTCATAGCTTTTTGCCCTTGTTGCTGCGTTTCGTTCTGCACCCTTACATCTTATTTTTTGTTTTTGTCTTTATTATATAGTGGTTTTAGTAATTAATTTTATTAATGGTGCGAATTCTTTTTGTATTTTTTGTACAGCTGAATTTGTAACCATTGTTTCATGTATTGTTGCTGGCTATTTGTGCGTATTGTGTTGTATTGTACTTTTACAGTTTATTTTTTATTTTTTTTATCTCTTTTTATTAGTTTTATTTTTTTTTTCAGTATCTTTAGTATTGTGACTTGAGTACCCTATGTTACAAATGCGAGATTCCAGTGATAATCATAGTGAGGACTTTCTTTCCTGTACATCTTCTGAGGGTTTGAACAGTGATGATAGTTTCTCTAGCTTAGCTTCCTTAGGAGCTTCCCTTGATATTGCTGTATCAGATGTCTCTAAAAACTTTAATGTGGTGCATATCAACGCTCAAAGCGTTCCGGCTCATTACCCTGATCTTTTATCTACCTTCTCTAATAGGAATGTTCATGCAATCTTGATCTCCGAGACTTTTCTACATCCTTCTATTCCTACGAACTCATACACACTTCCTGGTTTTACCCTAGTTCGTAATGACCGAACTAATACTTCACATGGTGGTGTGGCTATATATCTGCGT